TTTTTTTTTTTTTTTCCAGTGGCCCTAATCCTCTTCTGTAACTATAGCTACAACTGAAACATAAAACAATAACAGCTTATCATAAATGTTTCTTCTTTGTGGCCGGATAAAGTCAGTTCTTTCAGCTTGGATGCTTCTGTTTATACTAAAGAGAGACATAAAGCTAGCAGTAATTACCCCTTTATAAAGTAGGCGAGCTACTTTTATGAAAACTGGCAAGTTGGTTTATAATCTATATAAAGCTTTTAGCTGGAATTACTACCTTCATATATTGATAGTAAAAAGAGAGGGAAAAGAACTGGCACATTGCACTGGCTCTGTTTTGAGCATCACATTGCTGCTGGAAACAAAAATAAATGGAAACCTGAGCAGGGACACCCTTCCTGAGGGAACAGATGAGAGTAGCATGTTGATCTGTGAATTCACAGAGTTTTTGGACAAACTCACTGACCTCAGGCAGGGCGGCCCACGGATGAAGATAATGAATCACTTGGAGCGTTCAGATCAATGAGAAGGAACCATAACTGAACGCCGCCACAGTCTGTTAACGAAAGCTTCAGTTTGGATTTTATGGACTAATCTCTTTATTTTAGTCAATTTTTATCCTTTGGAAGGTTTTCTTCATCAAGTCATAGTATGATAAAAATGTTTTATTTGCTTTAGCTGACATTCAGAATGAATCAGTAATACTCCAGTAAACTCGGGTCCGTTACAACTACCCTGGTTTTTCATTAGAAAGATGAATTCAATCTTAGTCTACTCTTTTTAGGAGATTTTTTTTATTATTTTCATATAAAAACAGTTACTATAAAGGTCAGACAATTTACAAAAGAAGTGACAAAATGAACATAGTTTCCCTAATACTGAGACCATCTGCTGTTCCTGTCAGGACTGTGAAAACAAAAGGACTCCTATCAGAACCGAGCCGAACCCGGCTTCTTAGGCCACATCGTTTTACCTGCCGACATGTCCAGCCTCTGGAGCACATTATGCAGGAATATTTGGAGGATTTATGTTGAGAGTTTTTCCTGTTTTCCTCTTTGCTGACCTGCAGGAAGTAGAGTGAATCCTGGAATCTTTTTTAAAACACAAGTTTAGCTTATATCCACACAAATGTTCCATCCCGGGTCACAACATTAATTCATCTAAATGCGCTACAGGCTCAAACTTTGAGCAAGTTTCCAGCATCAGTTGCCATGGTAATACATCCCGGAGTAGGAGCAGCTTTACGGTGAACCTTAAGTTACCTGCTGACCTTCTGATCCAGACTCAGAGCTGGACTGAATTCTCAAGAGAAACTTAAAAGATCTGGAACATTGGAGCTGATTTTGGTGGCCAAAAAAATCCTCTTTTAAAGTGAAAGCAGGTATGTCTGCAACAGAAATTGTTCAGAACAAACTAACTGAGCTGCTACATGGCTGATGAACTGCAGAGGAACGTCTGGATGCGTCTGCAGACTTCAGTCGATGAGGTTTGTCCCGGCTGTCTCTGCTCATAGTGTAGGGTTGATCCAGGGTAGAAACAGAGGTCTGCTTCACCTGAAGCAGTCCTGTTCTACAAGGAGGGGGCGGTGTTGGCCAGTCGTCGCAGTCGCCTGCAAAGAAACAGGCTGGTTCAGATTATGGCTCCTCAGATTAAATATTTTTCAGTTTGTGTCTCTGTGACAGGCTGCAGTATCAAAATTAGAAAACAACCCCTCCGATGTTGACATGATCCCAGTGCAACCCCAAACTTCAATAGACCAGCAACAGGTTAATATCTATGAATAAAGGTTTGTTCCAAAGTAATTAAAGGCAGGACGATATTTTAAATAAGGAAGTTTGATAAAAACATATTTAAAAAAAAAAAGGCTTAAAGAGTAATTTATGTTTATGCAAAAGTTCAACCAAAATTTTTAGAAATTGCAGATTTTTCAAATATTTTTCTTTTTTTCCCTGATATTTCACTTTTTTTTAGATTTAATATATAATTTTTTTCAAAAATATTTTCAGATTCTTTTTTTTTTCCATCAAGATTTTATATTTTGAAGTCTTTTTTCATGTTTATATTTTTTCAAAAAATTTTTCTGATTTTATTTTTTCAAATTTTTGGGGGGATAAATCCCCTTTAACAGTTTTTAAGTTTCTATTGGTCAGTCAATCCAGAAGGTTAAAGCGTAAATCAGTGAAATATGATTTGAAAAGACTGAAATCTTAAGAATCCGTCTTCAAACACAAATAAAAAATATTAAAATCAGAAAAAAAGAAAAGATAATTTGGGAAAAAAATACATCTGGAAAATTAAACTGGAAAAATAATGCCTAAAAAAAGGTTAACTTTAAATATATTAACTGGAATTTTGCATGCATTTTGTAAATTATTCTCAAAAACCTTTTTTTTTTGATTGAGAAGTTTTTAAAAGTTCCACTTTTGATAAATTTCCTTTTCTTAAAACATGTTTGTTGCTTTTAATAATATTGAAACACATTTCTCTTCATGTAAGGAAGATTCCAAAAAAATAAAAAAAAATAATCCACAGGATTTTGTTTTAAAGTTTGAAGACATTTTGCTTCCCATCCAGGAAGGTTTTTCAATTCAAACAGAAATAGTGTTGAGTTTGAGGCTTTATAGAGTGGAACAAAAACAAAGCCTTTTTTGGGCTTAGAAAACAGGCAAATTAAATAGTTTTTGGTCCCCTCTAGTGCTATTTCTGACGTTTTAAATTGCAAAAGCTTCCTGGATGGGAAGCAAAATGTCTTCAAACTTGTAAAAAAAGTCCAGTGGATTGTTTTTTTTTACTTTTTTAGAATGACTGACCTAGATGACCGAGAAACTTCATCAGCACATGTAGGGAAGAGGTAAAATAATCTTGTGAGATTGTTCTTCAACTGAAAGACTAAAGGTTTGGTTCACAGGGAGAAGAAGAGAAAGAGAAATTCCTCGTCATAAGCTTGTCAGTCAGAGAAACGACAGAAAGATGATCTGACCTGGTGTTTCTGTCTTGGTCTCGAATCTTCTTCTCCATTTCTGCATCTGTGAGGGTCTCCAGCAGGGGGCACCACTGGTCAGCCTCTCCTGTGTTTCTGATGGCTATCTCTATCGTGGGGAGATGGTTCTCACTGCAACAAGAGGACAGGACAGTCAGACCTGATCCGAGTTACCAGGCAGAAGCGACGTGAAAGGAGGGTCACCTGAATGCGTAGGTCCGCTGGTGCCAGCTCAGCTGACCTCGGATGCTGTAAGCGATGGTGGTGACGAACTCTCCTCCCAGACCCAGCTCAGAGCACAGCTTCAGGGCGAACGACTCCGGCGAGTTCTCCTTCTCAGACATGTCCCACTCAAACTGGTCCACCAGAGAGATGTTCCCCACATGGATGTTCAGCTGGGTGTCGGAAACAGACACAACATGAGCCGCAGGGTTCTGATAGCGAGCGCCGATCCGGTGCCGCCGGACCCACCTTGATGATGACTCTCTGGTCCGCCTGCTCCTCCAGGATGCTGTCGGTGGGATAAGACTCGATCTGCTGCCGGATGGCCGAGGCCACGGCCGGGACAAAGGTCAGAGGGTTCAGGTCCAGGTCGTCACAGAGGATCTCTGCAAACATCTCCGGAGTCATCAGCTTCTCTGAGGAAGAAACAGGAAAGGTGAGCGGAGACCCGGAGAACAGAACCAGGTCCTGGCTGTAGGTTGTCCTTACCGTTCATGTTCCAGGTGAAGGCGTCTCTCAGTTTCTGTCCGTCGATCTCCATGTCCAGTCGGATGGGAACCAGAGCCTCTGCCTGGGCTGCGTTTTCGTGGATCACTGCCGGGTCGTGATCATCAAAGCTGAGAAACATCAAGTCAACTGCGTTATTCACAGACAATGGCAAAAAGGTTTTTATTTAAGACACAATTTTTAAACCTTTTTACAGCCTAAATAGGAAATGCATCAGCAGAGGAACCAACGGACCCACAGCCCCAGCAACTACTGGTCCTGTTCTGTTTCTCCTGAGGTCACATCCGCTAACAATGACAGCAGATCTTCTGAAGTTCAACGGTTCTACACAGATTCTCCTGACGTCTTCTTGTTAAAATCTGTTTTCTAAAGCCGGGGTTTGCAGAGACGTCGCAAAAGGCTTTCTCCCGTCATCTATTCACCTTGCAGGTAGTTTGTAAGATGGGTTACCTCTGGCCGCCTGGAGAACGAGCTGGCAGCTAGTGGCTCCACTGAGCGAGGAGAATGGTTAGCCGATAATGGCCCACAATTAAAAAAATATTGTTAAATTCTTAGTTATTTCTGGGTTTTTATTTGCTGATCAGACAATTAAGATGTTTTTTGGAACGGAGGGAGAATAAGAAGCAGACAAAAGAGCGGGAAGGAGACAGAAGAAGAAGAAGAAGGAGACAGGATCCTCACCACAGAGGGAACGTCCTTTTCTTGTCGCGGCCGATTCGGTTCCTGTTGATGGAGGTGGAAGAAGGAACGGCGTCCAGGTGGTGGGAGCTGTTGGGTAAGGTAGGAACCCACTGGCTGCTGCGTTTGGCTTTCTGCTCCCTATGATAAATAAAGCAGAACGAGGATTAATCTGCTTCCTGTCAGAGAGTTACATAATAATAATAATAATAATACATTTTATTTAGCAGCGCCTTTCTTGACACTCAAGGTCACTTTACAAATAATACAAAAGACAAATAAAAAGAGATGAAAATACAAAATACAGATACAGGAACATAAAAAAAACAATCATGGATAGGGAAAAGAGCAGTGTATTCACAGATAAGCGAGCTGGAACAGATGGGTTTTGAGTCTGGCTTTGAATAAGGGGAGAGAGTCAATACTGCGGAGGTCGGGAGGAAGTGAGTTCCAGAGCTGGGGAGCAGAGCGGCTGAAGGCTCTGCTCCCCATGGTGACAAGTCGAGCTGGGGGTACAGTGAGGTGGATGGAGGAATTGAATTCTGAATTGAACTGGGAGCCAATGGAGTTGGTGAAGAACAGGGGAAACATGATGAAAGGAGGGGGTTACATTTTTTATTTTTTTAAAATAGGTTTACTACACTGCAAAAACAATCTAGAAATAGGTAAAAATGTCTTAAATTAAATGTATTTACCCTTAATTTGATGAGATGATTTGACAATTGAATTAGTTTTTACTCTTAAAATAAGATAATTTGATAATCTGCACTTGAAATATGAAAATGCAATATTTTTTCTTAACTTAAGCAGGGTTCCTACAGCATAAGGAGAGTTAAATTACAATTTTTTAAGACTTTTTAATGCCACTTGAAATAAAACTTTAAGACCAAATTCACAAGAAACGCAAGAAAAACCTGCTTGCTGCAACTTAACCCAAAGGTTTATTATAATATTAACCACTGCACTAATGTTTCAAATGTTGAAAAGCTTCCCATACAGGAAGAAAGCTAAAAACACACAAATGACAGATATATTTGAACAATTATTTAACTGAATTCACAAACTTTGTTTTAGCAGGAAACAAAAATCAGTTTTAAAGCCACAACATAACCAGTGCTAAGTCTTTTTAGCAGCTATTTTTCTTTGTATCGTTTTCTTAGTATGTTTGATTTGGTGATAAGTGGAGGCGTTGCAGAGACAAGGGTGGAACTAAACTGAGAAATACCGCCTGTTTCTCTGTAACTCCATTTGGACGCTTTGTGTTTCGTGCTTCGCATGTGCGACTCCACTGCCTTAATACCCATCGTTCTGAGCTTGAATGACAAGGAGAAAATGGAGAATTGCATGGAGAAAACTCTTGGCTGGAGACAATTTTGGTTACATTTACACTTGCTCATATTTTCCAGACAAAAAGTTAATGGTGCATCTCCCAAATGTCCCGGCCGCAACAACAACGCTTTATTGGTTCCGCTATCGGGACGGAACCAATAATGGCGAGCTGTTATTTAAAAAAAAAAAAAAAACAAAAAAACAAATTGTCAATTTTAACATTTTATTTAGATTACAAAAATAAATCGTAAGAAAAATAATCCTATTTATGATGTTTTAAAAATTAAGACCTAAGAAAGACTAATTTGAGACATTTTATTACCAATTAAGGCCTTAGTTTTATTTTGAAGAATTCAATGCCTTTTAAGACTTTTTAAGGACCCGCGGGAACCCTGTTAAGTGTCAGCTGTCTTGTTCTATTAGCAAAGTGTCTCACTTTCTTCCTTAATTAAAGATAAAATGCATTTATTTTAAGAAAAAAGACTTATTTAGATTTCAAATTTTTCCAGTGTGCAGCTTGATGCTGGAGGGAAACTTCTGAACAGCATCACAAAGAAATGTTTCCCCATAAATTTTATGTTCTGTTAATATTTTTGGTCAAAATTAGAACCTAAAAGAAAAACATTGGAGAACAAAGAGCCACTGTTGAACAATCCACAGAAATAGTTCCAATACTTCCGCCTTTGTTATTGGATCACATGTTTTAAATCAATTATGTAGTTTCTGTGCAGCATCTTTGGGTTTTTAGCTGTAAAAATTCCCATTTAGTTATAATTATTAAAAGCGAAGAGTTACTCAGAAGAACTCCACATGGAGCATGTGGATCATAATAATGTGGTCACTGACATCCCATAGCTAACATGAGCAATGCTACAGCCAACAGAGACATGGCTACCTGAGGTACGCTGGAGGCTCCGTGCTGATGGACACCGCCTTGTACTTCTCATCGTTCCCGTCAAAGATCTCCTCACACTCGGAGGCTTTAAGCAGGGTCACACTGGTGGCTGTTGGAAGAAAAACACATTGTTGATCGTAGCTGTTCGACTGTCAGACGTCGTTCAAAACAAGCCAGAAGATCTAACCCTGAACCTAAGAATCAACATTTTTAAGCGGTTTTCTTGAAACCGCAAAAGGATTAGATTTATGCTGAAGGAAAAATCACCGTGTGACGAAGCCATGATCTTCTTCCTCTCCTCCACCGAGGCCAACCTCCTCCATAACGAGGGATATCTTTTATAAAGAGAGCCTCTGAACATCCGCAGGTAGTTTCCAACCTGGACAGAAGAAAACAAAAAAATTACATGACCAAAACAACTCCAAACACAAATAACATCAAACGCACCATGAAAACAGAAACAGATCCCAGAAACCAAAACTAGTAAGAAATAATCTAAGTTTATGGGTTTTAAAATTTGACTCCCATATTTTAGTTTTAAAGAAATTATATCTGAAAGGAAACATTAACAGGGAAACAGTTAAGTCATAACATCAGGAATAATACATGAATTTTAACAAAAGGTATTTCCATGTAATAACTGTGATATTCTTTATTCCAAAAAGTAAAAAAGTATATTTTTGTGGGTCATTTTTTATATTTATATTTCCTTGTCTTTAAACAAATCATAAACATTGTTTTTGCCAGTTTTACACATGGAAACCTTATAATTTGTTCATTTAAACATGTCATTGATTTTATATATATATATATATATATATATATATATATATATATATATATATATATATATATATAAACATAATACCAGCCATAGTCTGACTATGTGTATCGAGTTATGGGAATTATTTGAGTAAAAACAGGTTTTAAGTAGCATCTCAAAACTAAGAATTTAATTCCCAGTTTAATGTCAGTTTATTTTAAGACAAACAATTGCGGTAAAAACAGCGCGAATCAACAGCATGTTGGAAACCGTGTCCTCATGTATTATCTTAAGATGTCTGGTTGATTTTCATTATGCTACTTTGGTTTAATTTAATCCAAGTTTTCAGAGACTCAGAGAAAATCCAGAGGCTCGGATGTCTTTGTTTACAGCTGCGCTAGCATGCTAACGCTAGCTAGCAGCGGGAAGGAGACCTCCGACTGGTTTTACTGAGAATTAAACTTTTATAACCAGTGACCACAGACGGACATACCTCTGATCCAACCATATAGAAGTCTCCATCTTCTTCCAGCTGGAATTTAACTGGTTTCTGACCAAATGTTTTACTCAGAGCTAGCTGCATCTTTGCTACAACGGAGCTAACAAGCTAAATCTGCTTCAGATGCGTTTAAAACCTCAAGGAAAAATAGGAAATTACAATTTTCTCAGTAAAAACGAAAATGATATGCCGCAGGGAACGTTTTTTTTTACGGAAGAGGATTAGGGCCACTGAAAAAAAAAAAAGTTAACTGATTTTTAAATTTTATTTCAGTATAGTATTGTGAAAAAAGTCAGAATTCTGAGAAAAAAATCAGAATTCTGACTATTTTTATAGTCAGAATTCAGTCAGAATTCTGACATTAAATTCAGAACTCTGAGAAAAAAGTCAGAAATCTGACTTTTTTCCCATACTAAACTAAAATAAAATTTCAAAATCAGTTACCTTTTTTTCCCCCCACTGGCCCTAATCCTGTTCCGTAGTTTTTGGCTATCTAAAATGTAAAAATTAATATTGATCAAAAAATCTTCTTGTACATTAATACATTTACTTTAATTGGTAATTTAAAGATACAGGTTAATTTATCAGGGAACTAAAAAAGTATGAACATGTCCCTGAACATGTTTGAAGTGTGGCGTTCATGAATTTGTTTTTACTATAAAACACATATATATATATATATATATATATATATATATATATATACTGTATCTTGTTGTATCATTCGAAATACAACAGAAATGTAATTTATTCAGTCATACATTATATAAAACATTTTATGTTCTCACAAGTGAATTTCTCCCTTGTGAGATCCATAAAGTTATGTTATTTTCTATTCAATGCAAGTTGTGAAGTAACTAACTTATTAAATTTGTCTAAATGTTTCCCTGCTTGTTGTTTTTACATTGTTGTAGCATTTTTTTCTCATGTTTTGTTTGAGAACATTTTTCTAGAAATATACTTGGACTGACTTTGATCAGAAATAACTGTGCTTAGTGTCGATCCAGACCATATATGAGGAAAGATGGAGCAGCAAATCAATAGCTTTCCTCATCAGTTTAGCTGCTTCTTCATAATAAAAAGGCCAAATGAATTCCCCCATCCCTGCAGATTAAAGTCTGAGCTGGGATGTGGATCATGATCAGAAAAACAGATTTTGGATACAAGCTAAAATCAGTTTCCTCTGAAGGCCAGCCAGGTTTTCCCTTTGAGATGGAGAGGACCACCATCATCCAGGGAGAGCTCAAATCTGAGTCATTTGCATTGAAAGGAATCAGTCAATGGGGGTATAAGTCTTCTTATGCAACCTGACATGTCTAGATCTATCTTGAAATCCAGGAGTTTCTCTCGGAAGAGGAATGTGTTGCACTGGAAAAACGATCTACAAATAAGTAAAAATGTCTTAAATTAAGTGTATTTACCTTTTATTTTAGTAGGTAAATGAGATGATTTGCCAATAGAATTAGTATTTTTACTCTTAAAATAAGATATTTAGTTAAAATGCACTTGAAATAAGACAATGCAATTTCGTTTTCTTATTTTAAATGGAAATTGTCTCGTTCTATTGGCAAAATCTCTCTTTTACCTTCTCAATTGAAGAACAAATTCACTTATTTTAAGGAAAAATTGCTTATCTAGGTTTTGATTTTTTTACAGTGTGGGTTGCCTCGTCTCTGACCTAATCCTATATCAACAAAGAGGGTGAAACTTTGGTTAAAGTGAACCCATATATCTGTATGTTACAATCTGAGGCTAAACCTGGGCACAGCTGTTTGATCTGGCCTGCAGGTAGGTCTATGGCAATGCAGAGCATTTCCCACTTGGAGGAACTCCATAACGAAATCAGATACAAAGAAGAGCAACAATAAAAAAAGATAAAGTATCAGTGAAAAGGAAGCACATCATGATGCGTGAAACGTTTATCAGAACCACATCTCTGTGGGATGGGCCACCTTGGTTCTGTTTCTCTTTTGTTGCCACACTGCGGCTTAACTCAGCAGCCTCCCAGGGAAGGAGAAATCCCAATGGCCTTCACTTTCACACAGAAAATTAACAGACAACCCTTGTAGATCAAATTCAATTCAGTTTATTTTTATAGCCCCAATTCACAACACATGTCATCTCAAGGCACTTTACGGTTCAACCAGATCATACAGTCAAATTGATTCAAAGTTTTCTATCTAAGGAAAACCAGTTGATTGCATCGACTCATTGA